CAAACTCTACCTCTCCATGTCTGGTGTCAAAGTGCTCTTCGGATCTCCAGCTCCTTTCAGCTTTGTGGACTGCAACACACTTCTTTCCCTTGGGCTGGTTCCACTCCCTGTTAGCAGCTCTCCTCGGCAAGTATCTCACGACTCTGGCATCTCTAACATCTTGGGTTCTCCAAGGCAATCCAGGCTTCAACTTCACAGCTTCACACAATGGTCTCTCTACTAGACTTCCATTCAGGGCCATCCCTCACACAGGCCTGGCCTCAGCAGGTTTCCTTAGTTGAGCCTTGACTTTAAGGCCAGAACCACATGGCCAGAGCTACTAAGTTCTGCTGCTTGTTGGGGCTAGAACCTGGCCACCTTGGTCAATTACATCTTCACCAGCTTTTTGTTTTCCATGGTTTTCTTCACTGCCTATGCTTCGCTGTTCTGGAACTTGGTTTGTAGACCAGGCTGGCCTCAAACTCAGAGATCCACCAGCCTCTGCCCTCTGAGTGCTGGGATTAAAGGTCTGCGCCACCACACCGGGTTCTAATCTTTTCTTTAATTCCTTTTCACAAGTTGGAAATTTAGCTGAGTGGGATCTGGCCCTGTGGTCACGACTCCCTTTATTCCATTTCTTAATCTGTTTATCTCCGTGAACACAGGATTTAGCTCCATTCCACTTTCTGGTGTCCCTTTTCTCTGCAAATATTTTTCCTTGCTCATCTTGCTCCTTTTCATTATATATCTTCATTAGAGTTAACACTAGTAACAACACAACAGAGTGTGTAGTAGGCTGTTTTGTGATTTCCTCTGCCAAATGAATTAATCCAAAACTCTCACTTTAGCCTCAGGCAGACTTTTCAGACAAGGGCAAAAAGAAGCCACATTCTTCGCCAAAATATCACAAGACCAGACTCTAGGCCACAGACTGACACTCTTCTCCTCTGAAACCTGTTGTTCCAGGCACTCACAGCTCAAATCAAACTCAGCACCACTGTCTTCCATTCTCCTACTAGGATGGCCCACTAAGCGGCTCTTAAAGCATTCAACTTCTTTTATAATCCACAGTCCCAGAGTCCACATTCCTTCAAGCAAAAGCATCGTCAGGCCTATCATAGCAACATCCTAGCCACGGGTACCCACTTCTGTCTTAGTTAGGGTTTCTATTGCTGTGAGGAGATAGCATGACCGTGGCAGGCAACTCTTATAAAAGAAAAGCATTTAACTGGGGTGGCTTACAGTTCAGAGGTTTAGTTCATTATCATTATGGCAGGTCATGGCAGTGTGCAGGCAGACATGGTGCTGGAGAAGGGGCTGAGAGTCTTACATCCTGACTCAAAGGCAACAGGAAGTGAACTGAACTAGGTGTAGCTTGAGCATAGGATATTTCAAAGCCTGCAGCCACAATGACATACTTCTGCAACAAGGCCACGTCTACTTCAGCAAGGCCGCACCTCCTAATGGTGCCACTCCCTGTGAGCTTCTGGGGGGCAATTACATTCAAACTACTACACCCGGAATCATTTTCTACTTGTTTATGAAGTGTTGCAAATGATGAAAATGAGAGTGCTGTTAACAAGTTCAAGTTCTAAGAGAAGCATTGGAATATCTTAAGAAAATGCTCCTGGTTGGGCAGTGGTGGCACATGCCTTTAATCCCAGCACTCGGGAGGCAGAGCTAGGTGGATCTCTGTGAGTTCAAGGCCAGCCTGGTCTACAGAGCGAGTTCCAGGACAGGTACCAAAACTACACAGAGAAACCCTGTCTTGGAAAAAAAAAACAAAGAAAGAAAGAAAGAAAGAAAATGCTTCTGCATCCAGGACATCCAGGAGTTGCTTAGATGAAGATTTTGAGACGCATTGGTTTGTGGGTATAATGATACATTTTTATAATACTATGCTAACTTGTCAAAATAACAATACTAAGTTCTACCCTGGGACCTACTCCCTGTCTAGTCATAGCTCCTTGGCCCAATAACGGTGGCAGGTATGGGTTTCATCTTGTGGAGTAGGACTTATATCCAATAACATAGTGGTTGGTTACTCCCCTGATGTTTCTGTCACTATTATTCCGTAGGCATGTCTTGCCAGGGCAGTCATTATTATAGCTCAAAGTGTTCACAGCTTGATACGATGATGAGTTTTCTCTCCCAGTACTGTGCATAACACCTTCTAGCATGTGGAAGTTAGCCAGTAAGGATGAGACCTCCAAGTCAGTACCAACTTGATTTTTCCATGTTCTATGACTCAAGTACATGGTATACAAATGGTTGTGAAAGCATACATAAAACCTGTGCAAGTCCAAGCCAGAACAAATCCTAGCACGGAGATGGGAGTTGAACATGAAATCCCATGTGCAGCCACGGGACTACTGGCAATTTTTAGCTGCTAGGAAAGGGAAAGACAGTTGTTTTTGTTTTTGTTTTTGTTTTTTTATTTTGTTTTGTTTTAAGAATGTAGCCTGAGGTAAGGTGACCACACTCCAGTAAAAGACACACACAGAAGAATATTTGGGTAGCATAAGTTGGTCTTGATGGATTAAAAAAAGGGCGGGGGGAATCCAATGTTGGATGGGTAAGGAAGTGGGTATATCCTGAAGGAGTTGGTGGAGGGGGTGAATGTGATAAAAATACATTGCACAAACCTCTCAAGGCACACACACAGACACACAGACACACACACACACACACACACACACACACACACACACACACACACGTATGCATGCATGCAAAAGAAAATATGCTACTGTCTCGTGAAGGACCAATGATAAGTTTCATTTTTTAAAGGACCCATACTAGGTTTCAAATTTCAATTCATTCTTTCTGCATTTCCCAGGAAGATCTGCGCACCACCAGTAATTGTCAGAGGTGGAGAGACAGCGAAGCTAGTGACCAGGTGTGGAGGGACACGCCTTTCCTTTGCTCCAGGAACAAGGGGCACTACTTTTCAGCATCATGAAATCTTGTACTCTCTGCTGAATTTACAATTCAGTCAAGTACCACAGAGATGTGCTGTATTTGACTTCTTATCTTGAAAGCACTTTGTAAATTTTAAAAGAACTTAGAGAACTAGACGTTGAAAAACTCACAAATATCAAACGCGACTGCAGCCAGTCAAGTACCTGGCAGGGTCTGGCATCAAATTGCTCCATTCTTACCCAAGAGATGAGACCGATTACTGGAAATATCTCAAGACTTTAGAACAAAATCCACACCTTGCTGATAAATGTCTGATTAATTTCAACAAAATGTTGCCTCTAAAGCCAAGAAAAGGTACAGGAAATACTTCTGGAGATATGATTTCAAAGTTATTGCTAAAAAGATAAAATTTATCTGAAACCATGTCAGAATATGCTGCATGTGTTTGAGTGCAATTGCCCTTGTTTTGGTATCATTTTTCAAATGTACTCATTATTTTCTCACTTATATTTAGAAAAAGAAAAAAATCCAGATATGGACTAATCTGTATTACAAATTAGAGTTAATGAATTATGCTTTCTTATACGAGGAGAAATTATGTAAAAGTATGTGTGTCGAATTTGAAACAAAATCTCATTTTAGCACAAGTTGACCTAGAACTCACTATTCAGCCCAGGCTAGCCTCAAACTGTGGCACTCCTTCCTCAATGTTGAAATTGTAGGCATACACCACTACACTCAGCTCTTCAAAAAGCTTATGCTTCCCCCTATCTAGCACTGAAGCCATTATAATTTATTTCGGTTTTTGATTTCTTCCCATGAGGACAATAAGTCTTTCCAGAGGGCAAGTACATTGATTGCATCAAATATATTGATTTCATCTTTTTTACCTCGGTGATGTCTTTGTTACTTATGGCATCTAATCCTTCCTACAAGCCACGAAGCTCTGGCATTGGAATCCAGTGCCTGCAGTGTGGAGGTGCCAGCTCACTGGTGCGTTGAGGACAGAAACACAGTCAAGAAATGGTATCATTAGGTCCCAGAGGTCAATGAATGCCACTTCCAAGTAAATTGCAAATAAAGTGCTCCATAGCTTACTCCACTAGAAAGGAAATAAAACTGATTTGCTGGATTCTCACTCATTTACTTGGTTACAGATCATCAAGGAATTTTTAAAAAATTTTTGTTTCTTTGATTGTTTTGATTTTCAACACAGGGTTTCTCCATGTATCCCTGACTGTCCCTGAACTCTCTCTATAGACTAGGCTGGTCTCAAACTCAGAGATTCACCTTCTTCTGCTTCCTGAGTATTGGGATTAAAGGAACATCAAAGTGTTTTAAATCAAAACAAAAGGTAGGATTAGAAATATCAGTCTAGCTGGGGCAGTGGTGTTGCACACCTTTAATCCCAGGACTCGGGAGTCAGAGGCAGATAGATCTCAGTGAGTTTGAGGCCAGCCTAGTCTATAGAATGAGTTCCAGGACAGCCAGAGCTGCTATACAGAGAAAACCTGTCTCAAAAAAACCAAAAAAATCAAAAAAAAAAAAAAAAAAAGAAAAAAGAAAGAAAGAAAGAAAGAAAGAAAGAAAGAAAGAAAGAAAGAAAGAAAGAAAGAAAAGAGAAAAACTAGTCCAACACAGTACCTCAGTCACCATTTCTTCACTGTGTTTCTGTCCTCAACGCACCAGTGTCCTGGCACCTCCCCACTGCAGGCACTGGATTCAAATGTCAGAGCTTCGTGGCTTGTAGGAAGGATTAGCTGCCCAAAGTAACAAAGACATCACTGAGGTAAAAAGAGGAAATCAAGTTAGATGTCTTACTGGGTCTGAGTAGAGGCCAGAAAGCAGTGGAAATGTAGAAGGCCTGGTGGGGGACAAGATCACAAAATCCCTTCTCTTGAAGCGGAGGGGACATTCCTGAACTACTGCTGAGGGAAACAACCAGTTACTGCCTCCAGCTGCGGCTCCTGGCTCAGTTCCTTGTGTTTCACACTCCTCTTTCCTTAGAAAATTTGGCTGCTCTCATTTTCCAAAAATATGCTGTTACCACGAACCTTAAATCTTTCTGTTTTCTGAACCTTGTCCCTTTCCAGGAGGTGGCAATCTATTCCAAGGAAGAGGCCACAGAGGCTCCACACCAGGCAGCCACAGCTGGGTCTTGGGCCGAGACTTGACCATTGATGCTCAGAACATGAACCAGCAGCAGAAGGTGGGACTGACAGACTTCCTCCACACAGGGGAAAAAAAACTATTGCCAGTCGAGAGACAAACCCAATCCATAACAGTTAGTAGGTATTAATATTTCATGCTGAGAATGGTGCTACCCACAGGGAAATAGTTTGACAGGAGGGTGAGTAATAAATAGACTTGGGGAGACAAGTGGGACAGTAGGGTCTAAGTTCATTACAAAGGAAGTCTTGTGGATATTAATTATATCGGGTTGTATCTTGACCCTCCCCCCAAATTCAAACTTCTGCAGTATGCCTGGAGTTGAACTGAATTTAATGAGAATATCCTTGTACAAGATAGAAGAGGAGAATTGAGGAGGAAAGACAATGGTACAGACTGGACTGGAGAGAAGCATCCACCAGCCAAGGGATAGTGAGCATCACAACAGCTACCAGACTCTGAAAGTAAGCTCTCAATCAAAACTCCCTGCCCACTCGTCTCCCAAAGGAACCAGCCCCGCTAAGATTCCACCAACCTTGAACTCAGAAATCTGGACTCTAAGATTTGTTGGAAAATAAATTTTCTGCTGTTTTAAATTGATCGGTTTGTAGTCATTTGCTGCATCAGTTTTAGAGGGGAAATTGCAATTTCTGTCTTGAGTCTATCCAAAGTCTGGGGAAATTGCAATTTCTGTCTTGAGTCTATCCAAAGTCTGCTTTTGTTGGCCTACAGAAAATTGTAACTGAGTTTTGTTCTGGAACGATAGGATGGAGTGTATCTAATTTGTTATGTGTACTCTTATGTTTCTAATGCAAATAGATCTGTATTGCAAAGGGTCTCAGCACACTGAACCCATCTATCAGTCTTATGATACAATAGACATTTTCCAGACATCCACACTCAATCTTTTTTATAAACTATTTCCTGTGAATCCCTGCAGTTGTATTTTGTGGGAGACCAGCTACCACATTTTCCCCAGGGTACTCTTGAGGAGGGAGAAGTGAGGAATATTTAGATAGGATAGAGGAGAGAGAAACCCATAGAAATACAGGATAGCTCGGAAGGGCCTGAATCCTTATCCACCGGCCCCTACTGTCTCTTCTAAAGGGCTTTTTATAGGAATGCAGGGGTGGAGCAAAGACCTTATCCTAGCACAGCCAAGTGCAGACCCTTCCAATCACCTAGTAACCATACACATGGTCAAGCAATCCTCTACTGCAGCTCTGCTGGGTAAAGCAAGCTCAGATCTCACTAGGAACCTTTGTGGGCCTCCACAGTGTTTATAATGTGTGATCTCACCCTGCTTCAGAGCCATAGCTGTTGTTTCAGGGGTGCATCCCTGTCTTCCCAGGCTAACTGAAGTTCTATATAGTACTGGAGAAGTGAAATTCAGAAAGAATTGGCCAGGCTTTGCTGGTTGCTGAAATGAAGGGCATACGATAAGGTGACTCATTTGACCCCTTAGTCACAAGGTAGAGAATCTGCAGAGAGGAAAAGAGCCAGACACAGATAAAGCTAGAACATAGAGAACAAACCTGTTATGCTTTTGACTCGAACCACGAAATCTCCTAACAGGGCCAGCTATGTGGCTCAGCAGGTGAAGGGCCTTCATGCAGAGCATCATGATGGGCTGAGTTCGATCCCTAGGACACCACCTCCTAGAAAGAGAAAACCAACACCCGTGGAAATTGTCCTCCACATGCGTGTCATGGCATGAGTGTGTCCCTCCCCAACAAACAAATAAAATGTGATAAAAAAAATTTTTTTAAAGAGGATTCTCATACAAATTTGTCACCATTGGAATACGATGGTGAATCAGAGTGAAGGTTCCTGAGGAGACAAGCCACGATTGGAACTAGTGATAGAAGTCCCTTCAAGGGGTTACCATGGGGAGCATGTGTCAAAAATACTTAGGGTGAGCCAAGGAACTCAAGCAAACTAGTGCGAAGCACTTAGAAGCATGTACTGAGGAAGTTATGGCTGTTGCCAATACAACCCCAGACAGAAAAAGGCTTTTAAAGTGTATTCCACTTGGGCCAGTACTTTATGCTTATAAAGAAATAGTACACTAATTGCTCTCCTATGTGTAGCTAGAGTTTCCCTGCCTGGCCCACAGTCAGGACAAATCTCTCTCACCTGCCAGTCCCACAGCCTCTCAGACCCGACCAAGTAAACACAGAGACTTATATTGGTTACAAACTGTATGGCCATGGCAGGCTTCTTGCTAACTGTTCTTACAGCTTAAATTAATCCATTTCTATTAATCTATACCTTGCCACATAGCTCGTGGCTTACCGGCATCTTCACATGCTGTTTCTCATCGTGGCGGCTGGCAGTGTCTCTCTGACTCAGCCTTCCACTTCCCAGCTTTATTCTCCTCCTTGTCCCGCCTATACTTCCTGCCTAGCCAATGGCCAATCAGTGTTTTATTTATTGACCAATCAGCAACACATTTGCCATACAGAACATCCCACAGCACCTATGTTGTTTGAATTTCTAATGGTCTTATAATAAAAAAAAATCCGAAGCCAGATATTGGGGTGAAAGTTGAAAAATCAGAGAAGCAGAGCAAGCCACAGCCAACCTCACCTCACCAACTCCTCAGCCAATTCTGTTTCCTCAGACTGAAAGCCTCTGAGTCCTCACCCAAAAGGATCTCAGCTGAACTGCTTTAGTTCCTGTTTTCTTATGCCTTATATATCTTTCTCCACCCAGCCATGTCACTTCCTGGGATTTTTGTTGTTGTTTTTGTTTTTTCAAGACAGGGTTTCTCTGTGTAGTTTTGGTGCCTGTCCTGGATCTCGCTCTGTAGACCAGGCTGGCCTCAAACTCACAGAGATCCGCCTGGCTGGGATTAAAGGCATGCGCCACCACCGCCCAGCTACTTCCTGGGATTAAAGGCGTGTGTGCTTCCCAGTACTGGGATTAAAGGTGTGTGCCACCACTGCTTGGCTCTGTTTCCAGTGTGGCCTTGAACTCACAGAGATCCAGATGGATCTCTGCCTCCCAAGTGACAGGATTAAGAGTGTGTGCCACCACTGCCTGACCTCTATGTTTAATCTAGTGGCTGGCCTGTCCTCCATCCCCAGGCAAGTTTATTAGGGTACACAATATATCACTACACTCCCATATATGCCAGTAATTTTTGCCTGGTAGTGGGTTAGCTAGAAAATGAGACAGAAAAGAACATTTTTAAGTAGTCTAGGAACCCATTCACAGACTGCACTGTTCTTTCCTTGAGGGGCAAAAGGAACCAGGCATCCTTGCTCCCAGAAAAGACTGAAGCACCCACAAAGAACTCTATAGACCAGAACTCAGAAGTCTGACATCTCTGTAAGGTTGATGGGATGGGCGTTGCTGTGGTGACTGTTACTATGAATTCCGTGAAAGAGATGTGGAGACATGGGCAAGCAATGAATGCTGGAATAAATGAACATTCATCTGCCCTGAACCATATATTAAGGACAGTAAAATGTCTACTAGAAATAATTGTTAAAAATGCATACATATTACTGAAAAGTATGTAGAAAGTGTAATGAAGTCCCCAGTGCCTGACACCTGGGCGTACCAATGGCCACTCTTGTCACATCATTATCCCACCTCCTTCCCTCTTTTTGATTTCTGCCACTGCATTCATAAATATTTAGTTGGTATCTCTTTAAGGGGAAAGATTGTGACCATCTGAACTCAGACAGCCAGGCTTGGTGGCAAGTGCCTTTACTTGCTGCAGAAGCACCTTGCCAGCCCTTCTTTTTGTTTTCCTTCCATGTGATTACTTGTTGAAGATGTGGAACATCTGTTCTTGTATGGTTCCTCACACTTTGGGTTGTGTTGATTTCTGTCTGTGATTCCAGAAGCTTGAACAGATACAGTTAGACACTTCATGGCACTATTGTATACGTCCATTAGGAAGCACCAAGTACCCAATTGGATATATTTTTGCCTTGTTAGAAGCCACTGGTGATTGTTGTCTAGGTTACTATTGCTTTTATTATGTTATTTTTGAGATTCTAAGGATGAAGTGTAGGGCTTCACCCATGCCAGTCAAATGCTCTACCTCTCAGCTACACCCTCAGCCCTAGGGCTTAAGAATTTGCTAAATGGTAAATTTCACAATGTATTGTTTCTTCATTATTTATCATATGGAATATTCCCAGAAGTTGAAACTTACCTTTATTAATTATTGATGCGTGTGTGTTAGTTGTTTATGAGTGTGGCATGTATGCATATATGTGTATGAGTGTGTGTTCACGTGCCTGTTAGGAGGCTAGAAGAGGTCTTGGGGTTACAAGTATGACTGGAATTGTAGGAAATGTTGGCTTTTGGAATTTGATCACAGGTCCTCATGCCTGAGCAGGAAGCGCTCTAACCTGCTGATCTCTCTCCTTAGACCCATTATTTGGTTACTTTAAGGAGGCATATATAGACAAGGGGAGGTAAACCCTTGATAGTTTTCCTTTATTTATTGGTTTCTTGGTAAATTAGACCTCCAGTATTTTTATGTGACCAGTAAGGGTTTTACTCTCTTTCCTCCTCTCTCCTTCTTTCCCTTTCTTCTCCTCTTTCTATGCCCTCTCCTTCTCCTCTCCCCTTCTCTTCACCTTCCCTCTTCTTTTCCCTCTCTTTTCCTTTTCTTTCTTCATGGTGATGGGGATCAAACCCAAGGTCTTTCTTGTGTCTGCTGGGCAACTTCTCTCCACTCTAGTGTATCCTTACCTCTTAGATATTTGAAAAAGAGTTGAGCTTTGCAGTCCAGGCTGGCCTCAACCTCATGATCCTCCTGTCTCTGACTCCAAGGTGCTGAGATTACAAGCTTGCACAACCATACCCAGCGAGCTCACAGCAAACCCAGACTAAGAACAATAACCCCAGGAGTCGATAAATGTTTCTGCTGGTATAACTTGTTTGGCACCTGTGCATTTCCTTTCTGGGAACTTTAAAATTAGTTGACTTTGAAACCTGGATTTCCTAGATCTGGTTAATATTCTTTACATATTACTTTTTTTTTCTAGATTTGTAGTCCCGATAACATAAGATTATTACCAAAATTACTGTTTAATTTTTTATATGAACACCTATTATCCTTATCTATCTATCTATCTATCTATCTATCTATCTATCTATCTATCTATCTATCTATCTAATCTATCATCTGCCTGTCTATCTGTCTATCATCTATCAATCTCTAATTCCAAGTAAAGTTCAGAATCAGAATCAGCTTACATATCCTCCAGTAAACCCCTTACTGGTCACATAAAAATACTAGAGATCTAATTTACCAAGAAACCAATAAATAATATCTGTCCAATACCACCAACCAAGTTTATGAATAAAGTCCTGTGATCCCGATGATAAAAGTCCTAGTAGGGAATGTGGCCAGCAATATAGCCAACTTGAATGATAGTGGTCAATTTAGACTGCCCTCCTGGAAACTGTAACTGTTAGTAGCAAGGTTTCAGGGGTAACCATAGCTCAAGCTTCCAGCAAGCCCTACCAGTGTCCTACCGTTGTTCTTCAGCTGTGTGACATGAATGCCACCTTCCTACCTTTTTATTGACACAGACACTATTCTATCTGAAAAAATAAGTCCCTGCAA